AAGAGAGAGAGAGAGAGAGAGAGAGAGAGAGAGAGAGAGAGAGAGAGAGAGAGAGAGAGAGAGAGAGAGAGAGAGAGGGCTTTAACTAGTAACTAATTAACATTAGTTGGCTTGGCGTGCAAAGTGCCGCTGCCTTCGGTTACGCCACGTGGCGGGTCATCGGCGCGCAGTGTACTCTCTCTCACTCCAATCACAGGATCGGTCCAAGGTGCGTTTTTATTTGGGTGGGTGGGTGGGTGGGGGGGGCACTGTTTTTTGTTTTTTTTTGTTTTTTTGTTTTGGGTGCGTTGTTGTGATCTGTTACTTACCTCTTAGAAGTGATATAATTTTTTTTTTTTTTTTTTTTTTGGGAAAGAAGTGATATAATTTTCGTCCGCTTGTTCAGACGGACCAACCGTAAAAAACAAAACAAAAAAACACGGACCAACCGTCATTTAGATCTCGATCATCAGCCTGATCTTAACCGTCGTCCGTTTGATACCTTTTTTATTTTTATTTTTTTTGGGGGGGTCGGTCTTGCGTACGGTTCTGGCGGGAAATCAGGTTTTTTTTTGGGGGGGGGTCAGTCTTTGCATACGGTTCTGGCGGTAAATCCCTTTGAATTGGAACGATAACGGGAAAAAAAAATGAAAAAGGAAAAAAAAAAGAATTAGAGCCATATAGACCATGAAGATTGGGAAACCTTTAAAAAAAAAAACAAAAAAAAAAAACGTTTTTTTGTCCACCGTTATCTCTGTGTTAAAATCTCAGTCATCTGCCCGTTTGTCAGTTCGCCAGTTTTTTTTTTTTTTCCTTTTGTGGAAAGCATTTACAAATCTGTATTCTAAAAGTATAGGTTAGTTCTCCGTTTAAAAAAAAAAAAAAAAAAAAGAATATTGGTTCTCCGTTTGGCTGAAGTCCAATCCGTTAGGTTAGTTCTCCGTTTGGCTGAAGTCCAATCCGTTTGTTCCTTTTCTTTCAATTGAATCCGTTTCTCGTTTTATTACGATTTATCCATTACTTACTGTAATTTGTTAATCAATTTAATTAAATTAATAATGTGTTTTTCGGTCTCTCTCTCCTTACCTGGCTGTCACCTCACCCGGAAAAGAAACGATAAAAAAGAGAAAAAGACGTACTCACACTACCGTAGCACTATCTCAAATGTATCTGATCGCATTCACGGCCATATACCTGGATGTATCGGTCCACAATTCCGTCCAGAAACAAGTAAAACGTGCTAGTGTGTATATGCCCGTAGGGCCTCGCCACACCGCTATCGAAACGAAAAAAGTGCGAGGAAAAAAATTAAAAAATGCGAGTGCATCTTCCGTACGAATCTGCAGAAAGAGTGGCAAGATGCAGATTCGTACGGAATTTTCAGTAAGGAATCTTCCGTACGATCTTGCTGCCATGCAACTCCGTGGGGCAACATGCACTTGGAATTCTTTTTCGTGTGGATAGTGGTATGGCGACGGCCCCTAGCGCTGTCATCCCGCGAGCACAACGCCCGCTGATCGTGAATGTACCTAGACGATCTTTACGGTATCATGCAGTCATAATGAGGTTGCGTTATATTCGTGTAAAGACGGTAGTTTCCGTACCATTTTGCTTACCAACGCATTCAAAGCAGCTATGGGGAAAAATGGCCACCATAGCTGCTGCCGAGGAAGGAGGAGAGCCATCACCATCGCCATCACTACCGCTACCACCATAGCGATCACTATCACAATCACCAATCACTACAACCATCACTACCGCTTTCCCCCGAACAGAAACGTACGGTAATTATCGCTGTATATGGACAGAAAATTGCGTCAAATACAGCTATAATGACCGTACGTTCTATTCGGTTGATGACGGTACCACCATCACTAAAACCATCACTACCATCACTACCATCACTATCATCAATACAACCATCACCATCTCGCCATCGCCATTACGACCACCATCATCTGGGAGAGGTCATCCCCCGACGGTACCACCATCACTAACACCATCACCACGATCAGTACAATCATCACCATCACCATTGCCATCACCATCACCATCGCCATCGCCATCTCCATTACTACTTCAATCACCCTCACCATCTCCATCACCATCACCATCACCATCGCCATAAGAATCACCACCATAGCCATCACCATCGCCATCGCCATCGC